TGTAGTTGTGTTAATTGAAAATAATCGATTCATGCAGTGACAAAGTATAAACAAATGTAAGAAAAAATTATTTGGCATCCTAACGAGGAATTGCCCGATATCGTTACACATTAGTCTAGGGCATGCGATATAAAATTTTGGAGCACCCCGCGGGCCCCCCTCCCCCTTCCACAATTCACACTGCAGAACTTTTATAGACGACTTAAAAATTTTACATTTTTAATTTTCGCTCACCTGTACCATCAACTTCTTGTTTTTCATAAAATCCGATACAGCTGTCGCATCCTTACTTAGTTCTTTTGAGTTTGGAAAAGATTCTCTGCGAATTCTGCATATCCTCCAGCGGAAGTTGACAAATCGCAAAACAAAACGGAAATGGTTAATAAGTGTATAAGTGGTACTAATTTAACACACTCATATGTACTTTTCATTAAATATATGTGCATATGTAGAAAAAATGTTTAGTCTCAAGCATCATTTTTCAATAAAACAAGTTTAATCTCTTTATACCCACTTAAAATAGAATCACAGCTGAACCAGCGGAATCAGTTGATATACGATCCGTGTATGCTAGGGATGTCGGAAAAACATCGAAAATATCGATGTTTTGCTTCGATGCATCGAAAATTTTCCTCTCGATGTATAAATAGTCGATATATCGATGCATCGAGGTTTTTGAAAACTGGCATCTCTAGTACATTGAGCTGTCGTTCAAATTTTTCAATTGTACAAAAAAGAGGAGTGAATTTGTACAAGACATTGAAATGGGTCAAACAAGTTCCGCTAGACACATAATGAGCTCAGTTGCAGTAATTTATTTAAAATTTTGTACAATTTTGCTAATCAATCGAATCAAAGAAAATCATCGATGTAATTTTGCCACTAACATCTCTAGTGTATGCAAAGTGAAATTATACCATGTTCTGACTGACAACGAAAACACCTTGAAAATGAGTTTTGGAATTGTGGGCTGAAGGCTGTTCACACCGACTGTTGGTGTTTTCGTTGACATTTCCTTCATCCTTTGTTTACAGTTTTGCTACACAAAAACAAAACCAAAATACTTTTCCTTCAATTTCTCTTCATTTAAATGCTCAAATAATAAGTCAATTTCAAGCTTTTCTTTTAGAGCAAATTGGTGCATAACATTTAGATATGTGCTTTTGTATATTTCACATCATGCTTTCGATAAACATCGACTTCACATCATTGCGGCAGTTCTGGCCATTTCACACAATTAACAAGAAACTTATACCTTATTCTTTTGCATAAACATGCGATGAAAGTAAAAATTACATAAACGGATGATCAGACTTGACATTATTTAATAAAAATGTCATTTTTCCAAAATATCGTAAAGAAACAAAAGAAAAGTGCACTCTGCTAATTCATGTATCTAATTACTTGTTTAAGTGGATTCTAATGAATTTGAAAGTGTTTTTGGTTATTTAAATGTGTGAGCTGAATGCGTTTACATTCAAAATAAGCAAAAATTTACAACCAAAATTTGAAGGTTATGTTGAAGTTGACAGAAGTTGCCATTTTTTACTAGAAAGCGATCCCGCACTTTTCAATGATCCTCTCTCGCTCTGAGTGAATTTTTATTTTTTGACAGTTTTACTAGTCCGAGTCCGAGGAATACGGGATTGCACCTATTATTGCATCATGAACTATGTCCCCTTTTTCTTTTTTTTTCTAGCTAAACGGGCCCTATTTTTCACTTATACCCAAACAATTTAGGTTGTCAAATGAACTCGCACAGTTTTAGCAGTTGTTTCCCTAAATTGGTAGCAGTGCTGGAAATTTCCAGTGGAATATTAGTTGAGGTACTAAAAGTTAGGTCAACTCGCACACAGCCTTAAGTTGCAACTTTATCATGATGCAATAATGCAAGGTAGTATCAGTTGTGACAGCTCGATTTGACACTGCCTTAGCTGAGTAGAATGAGAAGAAAAACGGCAAGAAATGAATCCACATATGGGGGAAAAATATAAAATTTCACATTTTCTTCTAAACAAAATTTGTTTTTCTATACTATATTCGTTATGAAATGAAATTAAATAAGATAAANCAAGAAATGAATCCACATATGGGGGAAAAATATAAAATTTCACATTTTCTTCTAAACAAAATTTGTTTTTCTATACTATATTCGTTATGAAATGAAATTAAATAAGATAAAATACCTTTTTAAGAAAACAAAGTGCGTATACTGAGAAAAAATTAAAAACATTCCACTATATTAATGGGCAAAGAATAGTTCAAGAAGTAACACTGTTTCACGTAAGGCCGTCAATATGGCGGAATTAGAGCGAGAAGTTGCCAACTGATAACACCTTGTATTATTACATCATGCAACTTTATTAGTTTCGACTTAGTGGAAATTCTTTTTTTTTATATTGCCTGATTATAAAAAGGCAATAATAGGACCATCGAAAAAGAAACTAAAGTTAAAAATAGCAACGTCTTGATTATAAAAAGACAATAAGATGACCATCGAAAAAGAAAATGGACCTAAGAATGGCGGCGTCTTGCGCTTAGAGTCCGACCGATTAATCGGCATCGGCTAGTATCGACACAAAATTGAGCATCGGCATCGGCCTTTTTCGCGGATTCTTTGGAATTTCTTTTAAAATGCTTAGGTGAAGCGACAGCCCACATTAAAAAACATTTGCAGACAGCTCACAAAAATGATTTTTTTTTTTTGTTGAAGGTTTTTCACATTTTTTCCATACAAAAGTATGTGCGACCATTTTCTTTTATATGGAGAACACTGCCGGCAAAAAAATTGCCAAAAATTACCGGGATTTTATAGCATCTTGAAACTTGCACTTCATTATACTAGAATGAAATGGTCTGCAAAACTGCATACAAAAATTCTGATTAAAATTGAAATTTTGGTGAAAATAAGCAGAATTTAAACAAACCGACTGACGTTTTTACAGGAAATAGTGCTTTTTGCGTTCTCGTACACTTCTGATTCAGTTCTCATTTTACTCTCACTTGGGAGAGTAACATTGTAGTTTGACAGTTCCACAGGTTTTGCCCAAAGGATACTGGAACAAACTAAAAGCTGTCATTGCTGTCATTTCCAATCAAGGCTGCCATATGAGAGTATTTCTTTAACAATGTCTTATTTTATGGTTAGACCACACTGTAACTGGGAAACTGTTTCAATTTATATTTTTTAGCACTTTGTGAAAAATCAAGATCTGGAAGTAAATAAATACTTAAATCATATGTCATTATATGTTGGTATTGTACATACTAAGTTAAAATGTAAATCATCACTGAGTTGTCTCCAAAAAAAAATTGATTGTGCTCTCGTGTATTCAGCGTTATCTTAAAACTTAGCTTTTGCTGTAATTTAGATTTTATTACTTGTTTATAAAACCACATAGAAATCCTTTTTATTTATTTAAAAAAAGTACATATTTATAAATTAGTTTTGTACACATGTTTCCTTCTTTGTTTAAATTATCGTCCTTTTTAGTAATTTGCGTACATCTGGCAATAATCCATCTTCATCTCGTGGTTGTTCTTTTTTGACAATTACGAACCTTCTTCAGGCAGCTGTATGCCTTGTCGATTTGCTTATATATTTTTTCAAAATTATTGTTGATCTCGGCACAAAATGCTGGAGTTTGTGGAAATTAATTGTAATTTGGCCTTTAGCCGCAGGAATGTCGAACGTGTTGGCTTGGCATTCCTTAATTCGAATAGATATAATGCCACTACAGAAGAGGCGGCGGAAAGCAATGATGATGCGGTGGACAAGTTACCTGAAGAATTCGCGGTCGATGTAGACTACCTGAAATCACTTGATCCCAAAGAATGGAAAGATCATGATCATTATGCAATACTTGGTTTAGGAAAATTAAGGTAACAAACACTCAGTTACAATAATTGATAAAATAGTTACAATAATTGATAAAATCTTAAAACGTGCGCGTATCGTTTACAGATTTAATGCCACCGATGACGATATACGGCGTGCTTACAGGCGCATGGTGTTAATGCATCACCCTGATAAGCGAAAAGCCAAAGGCGAGGATGTAAACACCGATGAGGATTATTTCACTTGCATTACGAAAGCCTATGAAATACTTGGTATGTTCAAAGAATGTTTATTTATTTTACTTAGTACAAAAATAATGGTTTTCTCAATAGGCACACCGAAGATGAGACGTGCTTATGACTCTGTTGATCCTGAATTTGATGACTCCTTTCCATCCCAGGCTGAGATCGATAACAGCTTTTATAAATGCTTTAATAAATGTTTCGACTTGAACGCGCGCTGGAGTGAAAGGAAAAACGTGCCAAAATTCGGCGATGAAAATTCAAAGCGTGAACACGTGGAAGAGTTCTACAGCTTTTGGTATGAGTTCAAATCTTGGCGTGAATTTAGTTATCTGGATGAAGAGGATAAAGAAAAGGGTCAAGATCGCGATGAAAGGCGTTGGATTGAGAAGGAAAATAAGGCACTTCGTATTAAGCGAAAAAAAGAAGAAATGATGCGTATCCGTGCTTTAGTCGATTTAGCATACAATAATGACAAACGTATACAGAAGTTCAAAAATGAGGAAAAAGAAAAAAAATTAGCGGCAAAACGTGCGAAAATGGATGCTGCTCAGGCACAGAAAGCAGAACAGGAACGAGCTCTGCGGGAGGCACAGTTGGCAAAGGAGCGTGCCGAGAAAGCTGAACAAAAACGAATTGAACAAATACGAATTGAAAAAGAACAAATGAAGAAAGTGTTAAAAAAAGAAAGAAAAATTTTGCGCGATAAGCTAAAGGAGTCCAAGTACTATGGCAATAGTGATAAAGAAACACTCAAGAATATGGAAGGCGTGGAAAAAATTTGCGAAGTATTCAATTTAAGTGAACTGCAAGAGCTTAATAAAGATATTGAAAAGAAGGGACAAAATGCATTTTTTGCCGCATTGAAAACTGTAGAAAAGAAAATAGCGGCCGAATTGGAGGAACTCAATCTAACGCAACAAAAAAAAACCACTAAGAATGATAAAGACGTAAAGAAGAGTGATGTGTGGAATAATGAAAATATGCAATTGCTCATCAAGTCTGTAAATTTATTCCCAGCTGGCACATTCCAGCGTTGGGATGTTATTGCCGCTTTCATTAATCAGCATTCAACCGCTGGGGTAACAGTGAGTGCGCGCGATGTGCTCAATAAAGCAAAGGCAATGCAAAATAGTGATTTCTCAAAAAGTTCACTTAAAGTGCAGGCTAACGACACGGCTTTTGAAAATTTCAACAAATCGAAGAAGGAAGTGCAAACCACCAATGATATTACAGTCAATCAACCAGTTACGAATAATGAAAACCATGCTGATGGCGATGCAAGTACAAATGGTAATAAGGAACAACAGCAGTGTGATAACGATACAAAGGCTGCCGCGAAAGCGACGAACAAGCCAGCTGCTGCACCAAAGACGTGGACAAAAGAAGAGCAGGCGCTTCTGGAACAAGCTATTAAAACCTATCCAATCTCAACGCCCGATCGCTGGGATAGAATAGCGGAATGCATACCGAACAGGACAAAGAAAGATTGCCTGCGTCGCGTCAAGGAGCTTGTAGAGCTGGTGAATTCGAAAAAAGAGGCGCAACAATCGGTAAAATGATTAAATAATACACAACAATGATTATTTATTTGTCCCTTTAATGGATTTTATGTAATATAATTCAAATAAACACACGTTAAATCATATAGAGAGAAATAGAATTGTGATTAATGGCGCATTATGCTTGTACTTTAATGGTGACAATTCAGCACGTAATGAAGTTTTAATGTCGCTTACAATAAAAATAAAACTGCTTACTTACAGCCGATACAATTACTGGTTTCCTTACTTTATCTACGCATGTGTCCAGAAATGCATCAAGCCAAAGCATCAGTCACTTCATTTCTAAACTACAATTGATGCAATTGTCCAATATGCGTAATCAGTTAAATGACGAATTGGTACATCAGGCATTTCTATCAATTATAGTTTAGAAATAAAAGAGACTGATGATTTGGCTTGATGCATTCCTCAGCACATCCTACTTGCTTATCTGAAACTCATTTTTCACGATACACTTTTGCGCCACAAATTTATCAAAGGCGAATTTAATAAAAGGAATGCGTATACCTATCTAGCATTTTTCCTATAAAAAAGTTCATTTCAATAGACTTTCAAAACAATAAGAAATTATCGAAAATCATTTTGAACCATTGCTATCTAGCGGCAATGCACAAACAGAGCTCCATCTTTTGTTTAAACAATTTATATCTGCTGCGCATTTAAACGTCCACCACTAAGCTTTAAATCAAAAGCCTCTGGATTGGCTAAAGGATCCAACTCTGCGAATAGATCCATCCAATTAGTCGATTTCGTTGTTTTAGTAAACTCAGTGGTTGCATTCTCTGCTGTATTCAAACTTTGAGCTGTTGGAACTATTGTGGATTCGCTAGTTTTGGATTTGTTGGTGTTGTTACTGCTCCCTAAAACCTGCCCAAGGGGCCACAGCCCAGACCAAATGCTTTGATTTGGTTGGGCAGGTGGCTCGGATGATATTATGAGCTCGTCATCGACATTTGATGTTAGTTCAATTAAAGTGTTATCGTTCGCAAGAGCGGTCTCGAGTATGTCAATTTTAGCATCTTGCACATGCATCTTTTTATCCTTTTCATCGCTATATTCACTCTTCAGTTAGAAAAGAAAACGAATTACTTTACTGATTTTTTTTGGTTTGAAAATGCTATATAACTATTTCATTTCATAAAATCTACCTACCTCAAAAAAAAGCGACTGATCTTTATCCAACGCCACAATTTCATCTATCTTCTCTTCATCGACTTCACCCTCATTTTGCGTCAGCTCCTTTAACACACAAAAGTCATATCTAGGTTTTTGCTGCAAAGTCTTGGAGATTGTTTCAAATGTGCTTGCTGTTTTTTGTGCAAACTCCTTCAATTCGCTCATATAAGAAACCAATGCGTGTGAATACATATTACATCTAGCCGCGGCCAATAAGTCGATCTGGGTAAAAGAAAATATATAAATTTAACGAATTTCCTCATCAATTTCTGCAAAAGCAATAACCAACTTTCTGTATGGAGTCCATTGAGATGCTATCGAAGTTTTGCTTAGCTGCTCGTACATGCGTTTGTGCCGTGCGAAACTTATCCAAACCTTTTCCCGTATCTGGATCCAATTCCGTGCTGGCAGATTTCATCCACGAAAGCGCGGCACGATATTCAGTACGTTCTTTTTCCATTGCCTGTAAGGTCGCCTGCAACCGGATCACATAATTTTTTTCGGTTCGTACTCAAGTGCAATCCAATGGTTTTCTTTAATTTCTAACAAATGTACTTACCTGTGTATCACGTACGGCTCTACTACGAAACACTTCCACCTCATGATGTAAACGTAACAATGGCACACGCACACACATACGCTGTTGTCCACTGTACGAGACAGCCTTGCCCGTATTTGTGATGCTCTGGCCGGTGGTCTTGCTGCGTTTGCCTACTTCTTTGAGAAAACGTCCGAACACACATTCTTCCTGTGACAAAATGCACAATCTTTCCTGCAGCTGGTCAATGATTTTTCCCAATTCAAAGCTGGTGCTAGCTATGGACTTGAACACCTCGATCTTTGCATCGAGATCTGCATCCGAAGATATAATGTATTCATCTTCTTTACTGCCAAGTTTACGTTGCACCGTTTTTTTCGTTATCCAAAATTGATGATGCAGCATAGTTGTTGATTTTTTTTTGCACAAAAAATCACCTTTGTCGTCGTCTATGTGAAATTTTGCTATCTGCGCTGCTGTCATTGAATGAAATTATTTCCACGGCGCCTGCGCCCAAATAAATTAAAGCCAAAAAATATCTAACGTGATACCATATTTTAAGCATTCCACCGATATCATATTAAGATTTTAAATTCTTTCGCTTTTTTTTAATTATGGTTTAAATCGTCCTATGCGCAATTATTTACTTGGCGGAAATGAGTGTAGGAAACTGCTGTTGTGATGCTAAATGAATTCATCTCAAAAGTATGCAATGAATAAAAAGTTCTGCTAACAAGCATTAGAGCTGCCGGATGCAATTACTTTCCAATTGCCCTTAAAAGAAAAATATAAATAAATTCAAGTTAAAAGGAAGTAAAATAGAACATAAAAATTAAGAGCAGATAAAAAATTACGGTATCTAGTTCAAGTAGGCTAAAGTTATTAATATTATGGATGTGTCGAAAAATTTTAAAGCACAATATTTATATTGATCTTAACAATATCAAATTTAAATCAGTCTGAATAACTAAATTGAAAAAATACACCTTTACTTTTGTAGCCCACAATAGTTGCGTTCTCTAACTCGCAAGAAGTAAAACTTACAGGAATTTACCAAAAGAGTTCATACTCGAGTTCTATGGCTCTGTTTTGCTTTTTGACAGTTTTAAGGTTTTGTACAGAAAAGTTGAGGATCCTCACTAATGCTGCGTTCCAAATGCTTCACGATTTGACAGGTTTATTACAGGAAGTCATTCCAGGTGACCACCTTCCATAATGGTTTATTAATGAGATTACAGCTTTTCCTGCAAGTCGTGAAGCATCTGGAACGCAACTGAAATGTCGATGGTCCTCGCAATAACGGCACAATTCCAAGTCCAAAAAATTAAAAACCCTACACTAATAGTAAGTGGCTTATGTCGCCATTGTATGATTGAATAAGGCTTGATGCCAGGAGATTCCGGTGAGGGAATCTCGTTTTTGGCATAAATGTCAATTACGAGGTTTTGCAGAACCACGATACGCGGTTTTGTATCTTAAACGACGATATGTATACAAGGTATGTATATACATATCGTCGTTTAAAGTATAAAACCGCGTATCGTCATTCTGCAAAACCGCGTAACTGACATTTGCTGCCAAAAATTGGATTTGACCTCTCAATCCCTTGGCTCAATCCTTATCCATTCGTCCTGAAATATACTAGCAATAAATTTCTTTACAAAAAAAGATAACTATTTGGAAATATGAGTGCTTTTACTCTAGAAAATAATTTATGCAACCTCACATACGCGGTTTTGCATTATATTGATACGCAGGTTCTGCATTTTGTTGATACGCGGTTTTGTACTTTAAACGACGATATGTACATATGTAATTGTATGTCACAATTATCAAATTAGTAACCTATGGAAGTTTTGTTGTAGCAATGTTATTAACTTTTGCTAAAGCGACGGAGCTGTTAAACAGCAATATCGCAGAACCACAAAACTGTTTCTTCTGGCCAGAGGCAAGACAAATTTAAATATGCACCCAACAAACATTTAGGTTTGAGCTCAACTTGAGGTTAAGTTCAGAACTAAGGTATTTCTGAAATCTCCAACGCTGTTTCTCAAGTATGTGGAGGATCATAGCGTTCTCATCAAAAAGGGTATTTTTCTTTGTATGGTCAGGTAAAGGTCGGTTTCTCAAGTTGAGAAAATGTTAGTTCTCAACTTGAACTACAATGTAATTATCCAATTGGTCTCAAATCATATCATTGAAATACTGAAATTGAAATAGTAAAATACCTTATACCTCTTTGATTGAAACGACATACATAGATGAATTTTAATATTAATTTTTCATTTTATTACTCCTTATGTATTGTCCGACAGTAATTTTGCCTCTTGATTCACTTCGCCTCTTATTTTCTTTCAAGATTATTTGAGGATATTTTGAAGATTATTTACTTTTTGTTAATAATTTTCCTCTTTATATAGCTTTCGCTTTTCACTTGATAATTAAAAATTCGTTTCTCTATCACTTTTTACGTACCTGCGCGTGGTCAGAGATGAGTTGGAGAATAATGTTGGATATCAACTTGAGAACTATGAATTTCTCCAAGGTTGGAGAAATATTTTTTTGGTGTTTATTGGGCATGTCCTAGTTTTTGAGACTGCTTAAACCGAACTCAAGCGCCATCACATTATCATAGCAATGGCACCCGCCCCGTAAAAATCTTCAGAAATTCAATTAAAGTATCTAATATGGCTCAAATATGTACATACATACATATGTATATAACCAGCAATTTCAGATACTCGAAATACAAGTGAACATACATACATATACATACATATACATACATATATCGCACACCCAGGCCTAAAAAGCGATCAACTCAAAAGAAATTAGGACGATTTTTTTGTATCATTCAATTTATTGGACTTACCCCAAATTAATGCAAACATTTTTTTCTTCTAACAGAAGTATTGGCACGGTGAATTTTTCGCAATATATGCAAAGTTTTTCATTCGAATTTATTTTCGATAATTCTTTATCAAAATGTTTTTTTTTTTTTTATACTGTGCCAATACTTCTGTTCGGCAATGTACACTAACGACGAATCTATTGTTCTACCTAAAATCTAACTGTTTTTGTATTAACTGCATTGAATCTGTGCGATCCACATGCAGTTATATTTCCGAATCTAATTTTTGAGTTAACTCACTTTAGTTCAGGGTGTGCGATATGCATGTATATATGTACATACATACATATGTGTATTCGCACTGTCATCCCGGGCCAATATTTTGGTAATTGCGTAGCGTATTGCGTTGTTGTTGTTGTTGTTGTAGGGTCTTCTTATTCTTTGACTACGACCTCCTCAGCCTTTCCCCTTGATACCGACAAAAATATTTAGGGACGTTATTATTTGGTACACTAATTAAAAAATCTAATAAATTTTTTAAATATATTTGCAACGAAACAAACTATAAATATTGAGACTAAAAATATTGAAGACTAAATTAATTGGAAACTTATCATTTTAGTTTTTTTTGTTGTATTTAATTTAATATTTTTTTATTTTTCACTTATTTTGCCTGTCCCTATTGGCTATATAAATTCAACAGACCACTTAAGCATTTTATAAGTATGTAGAATATCAATAATAAATCAGAGGAGTACTCATACAATAATTTACATAGTCACCATAGTCATTTGTTGCTTTTTATTAAAAAAGGATAATACATCTAGATAAAAAAAAACTCTATATACATTACATATTAACGCATCATGATAGATTTCGATTAACAATATGGTGTAACAAACTACTGATAACAAATTCACTAATCAAGTTTACATAAATATGTTTGTTTTACTCTGTTTTAAGAACATTAATAGGCCTAACAAAATATTCTAGTATATTGTAGTTCCAGTACTCGTTTGGTCTCTATGATGGATGTGCGGATGTGCTGGCAGACATTTCGACATTATGCGCAATTTAATTACCACATATTTATTATACTTGTATCTAAGGGTATGCAATTATATTAGTATATTATGTTATGTGTGTATGTATGGATGTATGTATGTCGTTTGTATGCTCTAATATGGATTACTTTCAGCTTGTACAATGTGCATCAATTTAATGAGATTTTTTTGTTTTTGCTTTTGTTATTCTTATTATTTCTTTTCCAAACGTTGTGAGTTGTTCGCTTTGTTTTCTCTTCAATGCAATGTGTATGTATGTTAAATTATTTAACGCAATGNGTTTTTGCTTTTGTTATTCTTATTATTTCATTTCCAAACGTTGTGAGTTTTCTCTTCAATGCAATGTGTATGTATGTTAAATTATTTAACGCAATGTACAATCGTAGTCCCCAAAGCGGATATTGTGTTTATCGAAATGACTTAAATGCATTGCATTTTTCTCCGTTGCTTGCGCAGAATTTAGAAATGAACGCTGATTCATGTTCATATTTAAATTCATGTTCATGTTCATATTCATGTAAGGATTGAATTGCACATACGGCGATGGACTTTGGTTTGGTTGACTGTTATTCGAATATGAGATTTGCGAAAGGTTGCTCATATAGTTACGATTGTTGTTAAGTGACCACTGATTGGTCGCATGAGTAGCAGCAGCGGCAGCGGCTGCTGCGGCAGCAGCACTCTTTTGCGACTGCCAAAAGTTATGTTCCAAAAAGCGTTCGGGCTCTTTAAATCCTGCATATCCTCCATTGGCCATATTGTCGCGTGCTGTAGCTGTTACGGCTGCTGCTGCGGCCGCTGCGGCTGCCGTTGTCTGTTGCTGCTGCTGCTGCTGCTGTAGGGTTTGTTGTTGTTGGTAGTTGTTACTACCACCGATTGCTGGGCTACTGCCAATTCCACTGCTACTGCTGCTGCTACTATCTATGGGGTTATGGGTTGTGTTTGTGGACATGCATGTTCTGATATTATTCCTGATGTTGTTATTGTTGCCGTTGCCTCCGGCCGATTTCGCACTGCAGCTGGTAGTAGTGGTGTTGTGATTGTTATGATTGTGATTGGCGTTGGAGTTTTGTGCTTTTGTGGCGGCAGCATAATGCACATTATTAGAGGTATTGAAGAACTCAGAAAGTTCACTTTCATAGTTGTTGGGTCCCTTGAGACCCCTTGAATGTCATTCACCCGTTGCTGTTACCGTAGTCCATTGCCATGGACTGCTGTAACCCGTTTTTGCATTGCTGGAATTGTAAACAAAATTTATTAAATTATCTAGAAATATTAAATTATATGTGGTCTGTATAATAAATTAGATATTTTAAAAAATACTAATAGTATAAAAGTTGTAATATCGGAAACATACATATTTTTTCGAGATATTTGCAAATAACTGTTATTCAGATTAAAAAAGAGTGGTTCCATTTAATCACGTATATCTTACGAACCAATTGAAAAATCGTAATAGCAAATAAAATTCTCCAAAAACCATATATACATACGGTGACCATATTTATGTAGGATGGCTCTTCAGAATTATAGTCATTTTTAATGTTTAAGTATAATAATAAACTTTATTCACATTAACCGTTTACATTTTTACTTATGAATTGCAACTTAATAGGGTTGAAGCCCGCCTAAGTGGTCCGACGCGTTCGATCGTAAGTACGCGAATGCTTGTTTGTCTTGTCCGTCTTCTAACGCGATGTCCCTTTCGTCAAATCATTAGACCAGTTCTATTCCTTTATTCGTTATGTAGGGCTGCATTTCTATGTTACTAACTCTTAATGGCCAATTAGTCCTAGGATCGTAAGTACTGTCCGTAAACTAATCCCACATTCGGCCATCCTGCGTTTCATTCGGCCTCGAATGAAAAACACTNTTAAAAGCTTCTTAAATGATTCTAGATGTATTCACCCTAAAATAGGATCCTTATAGTAACATAACAAATTTGTAGGATATTTTTCTCGAGATTTTTAACCCGCAAAATTTGTTACATTTTAGTATAATAAAATGCAAGTGCAATCAGTGGTTAGCAGTGCCCACTACCATTCCGCAGGCCCTGGGGTCAAGCCCAGTTTCCACCAACAACAAAAAAAAAAAAAAAAAAAAAATAAACAGAAATTTTTTTTTATAGCGGTCGCCCCTCGGCCGGCAATGACAGTTTCTCAAAAAAATACCATCGCCGTACAGAGTCGGCGTAAAACTATAGGTCCCTCCGCTTTGTGTGACAACATCAAGGCGCACACCACAAATCGGCGAAGAAGCTCGGCCAAACGTAACATATTGTGTAAGCGCCAAACAATTATTATTAAATTGCAAGTTTAAAGTGGCTAGGACTAACCGTTAATTTTTGACATTTTTTTTAGCGAAAGTTTTACGCTTTTTTTTCATAAAAAGTATGACAGAACATTTTTTATAGGGAAGCAAATGAGCAGCACGTTGAACTCCTACCTGAGTAGGTTGAATGAGGATGTGCCGAATGAGTGTCCGGCATGCGGAGAGACCCCACATGACTCGAAACATCTCTTCGCATGCCCGGAAAATCCGACAACCCTAACGGCCATGTCCCTGTGGACAAACCCCACAGAAGCTGCACGCTTCCTAGGGTTGCCGTTAGTGGAACTTGACGACAACGACTGAGATACCAACCGTCCTGGGCGGGGTTGTTGTAGCCGCTACAACAACAACAACAGCAGCACGTTGCACTTTATTATAGTAAATTTTAATGAGCTACAAAACTGCAAATCAAATTTTTTCTTAAGATTCTGATTTTGAAGAAACTTTGCAGAATTAATTTTCATAGTTTTTGCAAAAACCGGAAATTTGGATTTCTATGGTTCTTGTTGGGAAAAGAAGAAAATAGCCAAACCTGGCTAAGATGTTGAGTCCTAATTTATATTTTGGCCACTGTATGTGTTCCTCAATTCGAAGCACAGTAATTCAGATTAGAAAATAACTGTTTATGGAGAAAATTACGATCATATACCAACGTCACTTAAGGTGTTCTTACACGATATGTATTTGCATCTGTACTTGCCACTTTTTACATATGTGCCAACATATCGTGTAAAGGCAAATTAGATTTGTTTCTGTGCACAGCAGATGCACGTACATAGGAAATAGAAATGTTTCTATTTTTATCTGACACACAGATAGAATCATCTGAGTTTGGTTTATTTCGTTTTCAAAGAACATATTTTTAAATAGTTAAATAGAGACTGGGAATTTCACAGCCATATGCAATTACATATGTATTAAAAGTCACATTTACAGATGCAAATACATATCGTGTAAGAACACCTTTAAAACTAGTTCATAGGCACGCTGTTTTAAGGAGCTGTCAAGGCGTCGAAATCCCGAACACCGAATACGGGACAAATACAGGACATTAAAAGAAATACAGAACATTTGGCGTTCCATATAAAATAAATAAATTACCAGGACAATTGGTCAAAAAACAGGACTGTACCGTATAATACAGGATGGATGGTCACCGTATATATACATCACTTTTCGATAGCCTTAATAGTTTCTGAGAATTAATTAATCATTCCAGATTTTTTGTTTTTATGGTAGAAAAATGGAAAAAAATCAAATTTTAGCAGGGAATAAAATTATGGTTTAAATGAATAAAATAAAAAAAAAAACTGTTTAATATACAACGCTTTTATAAATGGACTAAAAAGTAGAAAATAATATTTCTCAGTCCCACAGAATTTGTTTTGATAACTTTTGATTTTGAAATTTTAGCAAAAGTCATTATAAACCATTAATGACATTGAAAACGAAAAACGAGGAGCGCATGCAGTACCAGAGAACCACGATTGAGAGAATACAAAGGTTGCGCCGATCTCGGACCGCTATTCCTCTCTTAAGCTGAAATTAGTCAAGAACGTAAACCTACCGGTACCGGTACCGGTACTCAACACCGCAGAATTTTTCTGTAATTGTAGCCCGTAGCGCAGAAATCTGCGGAATTTAGATTTTTCCGTGTCAGCTGATTTCTCCTTCTTTAGATGGTTGCCACTTCGTCAGTTTTACAGATGGTAAAAAAGATATAAGTTCCTATTCAAAATATGTTTAAAATATTTGAAATTTACTATTGAATAAGGTTTTTGTTGAAAACTAAGTAGTTTATATTTAGCTAAAATCTATTATAGCACGANGTTTCTGTGTAAATGTTTGGCCGTGTGATAAAGCCTGTTCCTTTAGAAAAAAATCAAGCTACAAATGAAGAAAATCGATGGATAAATAAGAAGGAAAGGATTGGTCAAATGAAAATGCGCAAGGATTTTTTGTATGAAATATGAGCAAAAAAGAGTGTTACTCATACGCCACGTACACCTGTGTAGGTGGAGTGTTTGCATTGAAAGCAAGAGTTGTCAGCAATGATTAATTAACTTCTCAGAAGCTAGGGGGGCCATCGTAAAGTGATGTATATACAGTTTATGGAGAAGTTTATCCATAGAAAAAAAGTTATTTCGATTTTCGGAATCTCCAAGCAATTCTGCATAGGGATTGGATTGTGGCATCTATAGAACATTTTTGCTGTAAAGCAGTGTAGTTGTTTTAATCATATTTAATCGTTATTCTACGACTTTTTATTTTAGCTTATATGTAAGGGTAGAGTCCGACCGATTAATCGGCATCGGACTTTCATAAAAAAATAAGAAACATTAAATAAACAAAAGGGAAATAGCCAAAGAATGCTAAAATGTCGTTACTGTAAATATTGTTACGATTATCCTTGAATTAATCGCTAAATTCCAAAATCCTTCGGGTTCTTTTCACTGGATTGTTAACAATATGTTACAAAATAATTGTATCATTAAAAATCTACGGTTACTGTTTATTAACAAATTGTATTCAATACAACACATTTATAGGCAGCATATTTTTACTACATGTGTACAACTAAGAAAATTGATTTCGAATGAACAACAATGGAACAAAGCATTGCAATGATATGTATGCATAGGCGATATACTACTTTTAATACATATTTATGTATGTATGTAAATAAATAAGTGAATCGATTCTTGAAAGATTATTTGTTTTCTAATGTTATTTTTTTGCGTTTTTCTTTTGTTATTATAAAAGTTTTTTTTTTTTGTTATTCTATGGCCTTATAACAATTATATTCAACAATTTTTATTGAGCTTGAGGCCGTTTTTTATGGAAAAGCAACAATAATTTGAAAAAATGGTAGAAGTGATAGTTATTTCGGAAATCACCACATTTCCTCATCAGACTTCTTTCAGTAGGATTCGAACCGACGATAGATGTTACTATGCCATTAATTGTAGCTTTTAACTTTAAAATTTGTTGTGAAAAGAAAAAATTTGTAGCTTTCGCTTTTCTAGGAAAAGATTGAGTTCCGGTGTAACCTTTTCAATATCTCAATTCTGTCGTCAATGGTGCATGGTGTCAAGTTAGCACTACATACTATTTTTTCTTAAAAAACGAGAGCTACAAATTTTTTCTTTCCACAACAAATTTACAACAAAAAAGCTACATTTAATGCCGTTGTAACATTTTCAATATCGCAATTCTACCGACTATGTGTATGGTGTCAAGTTAGCACTACATATTATTTTTTCTTAAAAAACGAGAGCTACACATTTTTTCTGCCCACAACAAATTTTCAACAAAAAAGCTACAATTAATTCCGTTGTAACATTTTCAATATCTCAATTCTGTCGTCAATGGTGCATGCTGTCAAGTTAGCGCTACATACTAAATTTTGTTCAAAAAGGGGTCAACTCAATTTTTTCCTAGGAAAGCGAAAGCTACAAATTTTTTCTTTTCTCAACAAATTTTAAAGTTAAAAGCTAAAATTAATGGCATAGTAACATATTGGATATCTCAATTCTATCGACTAGGTGTATGGTGTAAAGTTAGCACTACATACCATATTTTTAAAAAAATGAAAGCTACAAACTTTTTCTTTCCACAACAAATTTACAACAAAAACGCTACAATTAATTCCGTAGTTAACTTTTCCAATTTCGAAAAGTGTAGTGCTAACTTGTCGCACGTGGTTGAGGGCTTGATATTTTTGAGTCATCTTGAGTCATCTTTCTCGATTAATCTGATCAATATTTTATAATATATTAATTTCGATCAAAAATAATCTTTAACATTGGATTTTAATTTTGGTTTTGAGAAATTTTAGGTTCGATTTTTTTCTATTTAAAAATATAAATCTATATTTTTTATTAAATTTCTACGCATAAATGATATGTACCACCATCGCTTTGATAATTAGATTGAAAAAATAAACGCTTACCTTCCAAAAAGTGGATGCCACAATGCCTGATTGGGCTCGACATTTAAGTTATCCGACACAACGTGTCTGCTTGCAGATTGGTTTTCCAGCACCGCTGCTGCCGTCGCAGCTGCCAGTGATGGCGATGAAGCTACTGTGGTTTCTGCATAATTCATAGCTCGTTTTCGCTGTTTGACCAACTCGTGCGGAACATTTAAGCTACCATTCGAAGCCTTATTCAGTTTCGCAGTTTTAAAAGGCATAACTTCTACTGGCGCTGGAGCACCAGAGCTCACAGAGGTGATCTCTTTATTAATAATATTATTAATTTGGCTATTAACATTGACAAGTTCATTCGAAGCACTGCGCATATGGTCAGTGGTAAGGTTGACCAAAGGAACTGCCGGCGACGAGGGTATGCTTTCTGGTTCTAAAAGATTCGAAAGAGATTTGCACGTCAAACGTGGCTTACTATCCACTTCATGTTTTTGCACACAGGCGTATTTGTTATAGTTTACACTTTCAGTCATCGCATTATCACAACTTATCGTCACATTGTTGCTGCTGTTATTGTGGCTATGGTTGTTATTTTGCCTGAAAGTTCTTTCGGCAACATCAGCGGCTACGCCGCTTAAATTTGTTGTCGGCGTTGTGGTTGACGCACTTTTAGTTTTCTTCTCGTCCACCGCAAGCATGTGTTCAACATTTGGTGCAACTGCAGGGACAGGACTCTTTACTACGCCGCCTCTTTGAAGCGGTGTTTCTGTGGCCGTAGAGAGCGGGTTGATATTCAAAAAGTTTGCTAACTGATGTTGTAACATTTTCTGAAAAACGGTCGCCTCCATTGAGGGTTGGAATGCGCCGAGTGGCAGTGGAAAATTCTGCATTGCATTATTAACGGATGCCTCTGCACTTAGATGCTTCAATGCTGTCATCTGCTTCAGGTAATTTTTATACATTTCGTCCATGTGTTGAAGCCCGAGATGGTGATTATATATCGGTGGCAGTAAGCCGGCGTACTTATTTTGTACGCCTAAAGGATTCTTTATGGTTTTTAGAAATTCCTGCGATAACTGGCCAAAGTACGGCAACCATAACATTTGATTTAGAACTGCCAACGTGGCTGCATTTATGTCGGAAGCTAAATTGGTTTCCACATGTGAACACTTGGGTGGTGGGGGTTGCGGATTCATAGGTTGTTCCTTAACTTTGACGATTTTCGGCTCGATAAACGGTTTATTAGAGCACGGCATAAGATTGGGTTTCTTCGCTGGTTCAGTTTGCATTTCGTGAACTTTTTCTGTTAAACTACTTTGTTGTTGCTGTTTGTTCTTCTCAATTTCCATCTCGTTTTTCATATCGCCTCTAGCTGTGCCATTGAAATTACCAGTATATTGGGATTCTGTATGATTTCCGGATAGGCAAATGCCTCGGGTAGTCTTAATTCTGGCCTTGTTGTTATTAGCAATGGTATTTCGCGTGCTGGTGAAGCTAATACTGCGCGCAGCCTATCCTTTGGCACAAGTATAGGGTCGGGTACCTTCCATTGTGTATTTCTAATTAGTAGTTGAAGTTGTGTCAGAGGATCTGGATCCTTGTCAATCAAAATTGGAGCTTGAATGGTCGCCTGTGTACTTTCCTCAATGATACTGTTTTTATTTATTTTAACGTTAGTGCGCACACGTTTTTTCATAGGCTCTTCATCGCTATTATCATCTATAACAACTGTTTCGATGAAATTTGTAGATGTGGCATAATCGTTGCAATCATTATTTGTAGTTAAGTCACGTTGGGGCTTGCCAAGATTTATCGGCTCTGACTGCTGTTTTGCCACCGGATTAGATACCGCATTAAATGCATTCAATTTAATAAATTGCTCCAATATTAGATTTTTTATTGCTTCTGACGTCGTTTCAATAGCGGGCAATTCTCCCTGTTGTGGCGACTTTACAACATCTGAACTCGAGGTTACCGCACATTGACTCCTTGACTCGGATGGTGGACAAACTTCCTCGCGTTTCTTATAACTTAAATCTTTGGGCGCCTCGTCGTGTATGACATCATCGGTTAGCTTCTCTTTGAGTGCAAGTGGCGATGATAATGCTGTCACCTCTGTGCTCTCAGTTTTTTTGCCATCATCACTTAAACTTACTTCCTCAACGCTAGACTCCTTTTCGTATGTGTCCATAAAACTATTTGATTGGAAAAGTTCGCCGTTTAGACCTTCGATTTCGCCTGCTTCGTTGAATGACAAACATTTGGGTGATTCTCGCACTGCCTCATCGATTATATGCTGTGGTATTACGTCTGTTATTAAATCCTTCCTTGCAACTTCCTCCACTTGTGTAGTGTTAAATGTTGCAGGAGTGACAGCCTCTTTAAGTGTTTCAGCCTCCTGAATTAAATTGTTTTCACAGCTGCGTTTAACAATCGAATCGATTATGTCAGCATCGCTATTACCGTTATCGCTGCAGTGCTGCATTAAATCTGCATCATCTAGTAGATCCTTAAGATTTTTGGTGTCGGCATCGAGATTATGGGTCGTGAAATGTTCATTCAGTGTTGGCATCTTTTCACCAGCATTATGACAATGATCATCATCCACGCAGTCGGCCAAGTCCACTAAAATATCTTTGGACAAAAAATTCGTATTAAAAGTACTAACATCGCAAGCTCCTTCTGTTGCAACGACAGAGGTCTCTCCATCGTTGTCACTTTCGCAAATAATGGTTGGCAGGAAAAGCCCTGTTTTTGGACAAAGCTGCAAATGCGGTGGAGGATGTTGATATGTTTGAGTTTCGATTTGACTTTCATTTCTCGCTGCTGGGGGCTCTTCCTCTGCTAGAGGTACTGTTTCAATTACTGCTTCAATTGACTGTTCTTTTGTATCACTATTTGAATCTGTAATTCCAGTCGTGTTGGTGGCAGAAGTGTCTTGCTCTGTTATTTCTTGGTCGTTCACACACATTTCATTGAAGTTTTGTATTGTATCCAGATTTGACTGTATCATCTGCTGAATGGGTACTTCGTTTTCCTCAGGTTGGTTAACTACGCAGAGCGCAACACTACACTCTGTATTGAGTTCTGGAGTAACTTCTTGAAGTACTTCTGTTTTTGGAATATTTAATTTAGGCGCTTTGCGTACCCGTTTGCATTCTTTCTTATTTTTAACTTTCTTACTCTTAATTTTCAGCTTTGCATTATTTGATTCTTTATTAACGAAGGTATCAGTAATTGCATTCCTATTATTAGTCGGCACATTTTCTTCTGTTTGCTCTGAGGTAAAGCTTTGCTTTTCAATGACCTCTGGCAGAATTTGCCTGTTTATATTTGCGCAGAAATTTTCATTACATTTCTGCAATAAGTTATTTTCATAAATTTCTCGCTTCACTTTTAATAGTGGTGTTTGGAAAATTTTAACAATCTTCGATGAGCTTGGATCGGTACGTGGTATGGCCCGCCAACCGTTAGAAGTCTTTGTTATACGTATACGGTTCCTTTTGTCATAATCCTCACAACGCACCTCAACAATGCGTGTGTCATCCTGTTTAACCCATAGAAAAATTGGATTAACACGTGCGACTGGATCATCACTTGAGATTTCTTTAATAGGCTCCGGTGGTTTTTCGACCACTACTATAGGTTTACTTTCAATACAATTATTCACCTTTGGTGTATGCTTTTCATCATTTTTGGTTATTGTGGCCGTTGTTGCGACCGCTGGTGTTGTTGTGCAATCATCGGCAAGATAACATTTTGGTTCGTTCTTAATGTCACGCAGTAGTCCTTTGGTTGAACGACTGGGATCCTCTACCATCAAGTGACCGAATTTGGGTTTTTGCGCTGCTTTCTTTCTATTGGCACCTCCACGTACCCGCCGGCAAGGTTGCTCTTCAAATACTAAAAAGATGTCACGAGCCACTCTTCTTCGCTCAGATTTCCTATGGAAAACAAGCTGTTCACCTGGACTTTCCACCTCCGCCTTGATGGCATTTTTGCGTGCTTTTGGTGCCGCAATGGCATCGGAACCATTGGTGTCCCTTGCGTGTGCGTCGTTTACCCTCGGCATTTTTTAGGGTAACAGCAATTTCGCTAACACCAATTAAAGGCGATTTTCATCTTTCGACTACCAACAAATGTTTCCATAAATTCCGACAGTAGATGATGTGGACCAAATCCAGTTGCTGTATTCGTGTTGCCTTTATCGGTATTCCACTGTTTCCATCGCTTTCAACTTCTGCAATATGGATTTTCATTTGTTGCCTAATTTGCTTTATAAGCTATTAACATACTGTAGAATACAGTGCTCATATAAACAACTTCGGATAGTTTAATTATATTTGCAAAGGTCCAATTTTTTACATTTTCGCTTGTTTTTACACTTTCGTTTTAAAATCGATGGAAAATTTTGTATATATCATAGTCACACCTGCAGGGTTTTGTGGAAATATATGAGAAAATGTAGTAGAAATTGTACTTTTTCATGTCCAATGTTGTTATTTTTGGAGAATTTCCCTTTTCGAAAATGTTTCCAATTAATAATTTAGGTCTGTTCGATAACCTGATAGTTATCAAAAATTATCACGATTTGACTTCTTTTTCTGCAAAGTAGCAGAGCAAAGTGATAGTTGATTTTGAGGGTAAGTTGATAATTTTTTCTGAAAAAGTTTGCAGTTCGCTAGCAAGAAAAACAGGTGATCAAAGACAAACATACAAGAGTGGGTGAGAAGAAAAGGGAAGAGTATACATGCGTCTGTACCGTCTAGTCGTTCCTACATTCTTGCATTGATTTTGACATTAGTCGGGTTTTTGTACTTTCCAGTAAATAACTAGGTATCCAGTAACTTGCCAGTAACCAAATTTCAGAGAGTTACTTACTTCGACGCTACACGAACTTGAAAGCCGGTTCAAATTCACTCTTATCGGCGTTACCTATTCCATGCACATGAACGAAAGACACAAAATCACGTAAGAACAAGAGAGTGAAAAAAGTCGATTTTTTTTTTAGCGGGTTCTACGCCATCTTGTTTCCCTGGAAAACGAGCGAAAAGTAAACAAAGCAAAGAAAACAACGAAAACCAAAATTTGCCAAAATTATTGTCAGCCACTTTAAACGCACAATTTAGGTAAAATGATGCAACAAAAAAAAATGTGTTGTCATGTTGAATTAACACTTCTTTACTTGAATAAAAGTGTAAAATAGTGGTGCTTGTGATGTAAACAAACGCTCAGCTAACGAACCCGCTTTCGCAAACTTTTTTCTCAAAACCAGTTACAAATACAACGTCNGTGTAAAATAGTGGTGCTTGTGATGTAAACAAACGCTCAGCTGACGAACCCGCTTTCGCAAACTTTTTTCTCAAAACCAGTTACAAATACAACGTCGCGTTCTTACGTGATCTTGTATTTTTGGCTCATGTTCCATGCATATAATGTCCATCAAGTTTGTCAGTCAAGAATTAATCAGTTTTGACTGACGCCTTGTAACGGTCAAACTATCAGTCATTTATGAGATGAAATCATCATTCGAACCGCGAAATTCATCAAGGAAAGATGGAGGATAAAAAAATAATACAGGGATTTCCATTGGTCGAACCACCCAATTATTGGTGAATATACATACATTATCAACATCGGCAATAGAATAGGACGAAAGAAAAGTATATTTTTTTTTTTTTCATCTTCAACACTGCAGGGTTTTTTGCAAGGTGTATTAAACAAGGTGGTGTTGGGGCGACAGCTGAGTTTTTCGCCGTGGAGGCCATTACGTCAAAATGATGTGTTTGTTGTAACTCATACCAATGACAGTATGGACATCAGCGTATAATTTGTTAGTGTAATTTTTTACTTATATACGGCCAACACCACCTTGTTAAATACGCCTTGGTTTTTTGTATTTTTTCATCATATTTAAAAATTCAAGCCCTGGGTTCAAGCCCTGGTCAAAGCAACATCGCAAAAAATTAGAAAAAAAAGGCAATAGCGAACCTCTTTGTGTGACAACATCAACATCAAGACGTACGCCACAAATTGGAGGAGAAGCTCGGCCAAAGACTAACGTATGTGTAAGCGCCAATCTATTATTATTATTATTAAGTACATACAGATATTTAACACATGTGTGTACGCTGCGAATGGTTCGCTTGGCTGAGCATTTTTGGAACACACTATAAGGGCCGTTTGCACCATGTCTAGTTAATTCTAACTCCCAGTTAAACATCTTTATCGACGTTATCGACACCCCTCATATAACATGTGATCGATAAAGCAGTTAACGTGCTTAACTGAAAGATGTACCTCCAGTTAGCGTTAACTAGACATGATGCAAACGGCCCTTAGGGCCGGTTACTCAATGTCTGGTTAACACTAATGTCCGGTTAAACATTGTTATCGACGTATTCGACTCCATTCATATAACAGGGAGTCGGTAACGTCGATAAAGATGTTTAACCAGAGATTAGTGTTAACCAGACATTGAACAACCGGCCCTTAGGGCCACTACCACTACACTATCGACGATTTCGACATCATGCATGTAACATGTGATCGATAAAGCAGTAGTTGTGCTTAACCGGAGCTTCCACCTCCGATTTGTGCTAATCAGACATTGAACAACCGGCCCTAAGTCAAAACTTAAATAGCCGCTAACTGACAGTCAACCTCAAAAATGTTTACGGTTGAAATTTAAGCAAAACTGTCGATTTTTATCGCCAATGTGTACCACACATAACATTAAATCGGTACCTTCGATAACAATAGAGGTCTTCATGAACGAAAGGGCTCTGTCACACGGTCAGTAATTATCACGATATTTGGATCGCGATCCATATTCAATATTTATCGCGTCAGTATTTGCATAATTTTTGTGCTGAACGCTTATTATGACGCAAGAAAATATTTTTATTTTGTACGTATAATTTACAGATAATGCATTCCACAATTATTTTAAAATTTCCAATGTTAATTAAAATTTGTTCAATTTGTTTTGAAAGATTTTAAGCCCCGAGAGCGAAGGCAGAGCCGATGTTCTCATTATGAGAGTAAAAGATGTACCGACGAAATGTATGGATCGCGTTTTGAAAGTGCTACACGTTCAATATTTATTGACGGTATCGCGATCTGCGATTCAGATTTCAAAATTTTTAGAAATTTTGCGATATGGATCACGATCGATCAATACCGCATGCTAAACCGTCAATAAATATCGCGATACTTGGATCACGTCAATAAATACTGACCGTGTGAC